AACAGACTCTGACTTCCCAGAATGTGCCTGCAAGGTGCACATGAAGGAATGTTCTCCAAACTTCCATGAGAGGGCAGGAGCGGGATTGGGGGATGGGCCACTTAGGGCAACTCAGTTGCACAGCTTAGGTCAACTCAGTTGCACAGCGTCCTCTTATCCCTGGGAGAGCTGGAGCCGAACTGGTTCTGCATTTTCATCTTGGAGCAGGCCCATGGTACCCGTGAGTAACCAGTCCCTGGATGCTACAACATCCGCAGAGAGCTGACACCTTGGCCTCCCTCCCTCATCTGGAGATCCTTTTGAGGTGGGGAGCTCAGCCAGGGGCCTTCAGTGGCCAAGCTCTTTTTCCCAGTAGCTGGGACATGAATATGTTGGGAGGTTGGGAGAATTCAAGTGCCTCCCCCACAACCACCACACAGGAAGAAATTGAAGCACAGAGAAGTTGAACAGTTCACTATCACAGAGCGAATGGAAGTAGGGTTCAGCTCCATGTACTGAGCCGCCCAAACCCTGTCCTTGTCGTCACTCGCAGATGTTTTGTTTGGAGCACTGGCGGTGCCCATTGGGTCAGTTCAACTACCCTTTCCCTTCAGCCATCTTGAGAGCAAAGCAAATCACGTGTATTTCTGACTTTGTGGAGCATCAAGGAATTCGACAGATGAACACAAATATACCAACCTGGGCATTAATGGGTGTCCTTCAAGTACGGACAGGGGTGCTGTGATTCCACCTAGCTCCTCAAGCTGTCTCGCAGTTTGCATCACTGGAGCGTCTCCCAAGCTCTGGCTTCCCCTGGCCCTGCCCCACCGTCTCTGAGAAACTGTGATGATGTCACAATGTCATCACAGAGCTTGATAGAATGATGTCATAAATACCCTGAGACATGGGACGCTTGGTGAAGAGGGGCGGAGAAGTAGAAAAGGAGTGAATAGAGTGGAGGACGGATGTTAGATAGGTTGAGTTCACAACAAGAAGCCTGAAGCCTTTCACAGGTGGTCAGCCATGCCCAGTCCAGGGCTGACCATGCCCAGAATCAAGGGCCGGCCTGGCACAGCTCCGGGGTCGGCCACACCCAGCTCCAAGGGCCAGCCACGCCCAGTCCAGGGGCTGGTCACACCCAGCTCCATAAGAAGCCGGCCACGCCCAGCTCCATAGGAGGCTGGCCACATCCAGTCCAGGGGCTAGCCACGCCTAGCTTCAGAGCCGGCCATGCCCAGCTCCCGGGCTCGGCCATGCCCAGCTCCAGGGGTTGGCCACGCCCAGCTCTGGCGGTTGCCAGTTCGTTAGACTGTGATTGAACCTACCGATTTTACCAGCAGACTGTCTGCGGCCAGCCACCCTGGCAGCCTTCACTGAGGAGGCCAAGGCCCGGTAGCCAGCCTCTAGTAACTGGGGTGATGATGATGGAGGGACAGACAGGGTCCTGAGGGTGGCAGGTGACCTGGCCAGATCTCTCACCCACCAACCCTGGTGCTGCATGCAGACACTGATGTTCCTCCTGTCCGACACGGTCCCTGTTGCACCATCTCTCACAGGTGAGATTGCTCACATGAGCCTGTTCTGTCACCTTTCCCATCCATCACACTGTTTACTCTGGGCTACGGTGTGGTTACCTACTGCTCTTACTTCTATTGGATAAGAAAATGAAAGACACGAAGTGGCACCCAGCCCAGGGTCACAGAGCTAGTAAGTTCTGGAACTGAGGTCTCAACCTACAGATTGGGCTGGCCCCAGAGCTCTTTATCCTAAGGGACAGCCACAGGCTGCTCCCTCCCAGTAGGGCACTGGTGACCTCTTCCCTGTGGTCAGCTTACTGCTTACAATACAAAGACTCTCACCAACTCAGCTCCAGCCATTGCAGCCACCTGGGGAGTGAATCAGCGGATGTCTCTCCTCCTTTTTTTTTTTTTAAGATTTATTTATTTTTATTGGAAAGTCAGATATATATAGAGAAGGAGAGACAAAGAGGAGAGACACCCACTGATTTCACTCCCCAGGTGGCTGCAATGGCTGGAGCTGAGTTAGTTTAAAGCCAGGAGCCAGGGTCTCCCACGCAGGTGCAGGGTCCCAAGACTTTGGGCTGTCCTCGATTGCTTTCCCAGGCCACAAGCAGGGAGCTGGATGAGAAGCGGGGCTGCAGGGATTAAAATGGATGCCCATATGGGATCCTGGCATGTTTAAAACGAGGACTTTACCCACTGGGCTATCGTGCTGGGTCCTCCTGCCTTTCTTATTCAGCATCTGGTCCAAAGACCTGGCCATCGTAGCTCCTCCCTGTCCTCTCTCTGGGCCCCTAGGAGTAGCTTCAGGAAGGAGGGGATAAAAGGTCCCCAAAGCACAGAGATGGGCTGTATTTTCAGAAGGCGGAACCTCTAAAGGCAGGTGCTGCGGTGCAGTGAGCTAATCCAATGCTAGCTTCCCACAGGAAGGAACATCAAGTTCCAGCGGCCGCACTTCTGATCCAGCTCCCTGCTCATATGCTCGGATCCTGAATTCCTCTGAGAAACCTAGATGATAGTTTTTCTGGCTCTGGGTTTGGCCTGGCTCAGCCCTGGCCATCACAGTCAATTGAGGGATTGGACCAGCAGATGGAAAGATTTCTGTATGTCCCTTCTTCTCTCTGTTACTTTCAAACGAATAAATAAATATTGGGGGAAAAAAAAAACCCAGCAGGGTTGTGGGTGGAAGCCCTAAATTTATTTGAGGAGAAGCTAATGACTTTCCGGGTCAGCGGTTTTTGATATTAATTCCACCAAGTGGACATACAGAAAACATGTAAATGGTGTACCTAGCTACGAGGCCTCTGTGATTGGATCAGAACAGCTGTTCACTAATTCATCATTAATTAGCACTAATTAATCAGTAGGAAACTTCACCATTAGCCCATGAGACCTCAAGAGCGAGAAATCTTAAGGCCCAATTTTTTCACTTGAAATAGCACATTTAAAACCTGTCTTTCATTCTCTGACATACAGTCCACCTGACTGGAAGTGGGGGTCATTTCCTTGTGCCCCTTTCAAGATGACAGCTGACAGCACTGAGAGAAGATTGGGACAGGTGAGACCCTTTGTGCGCATTCACAGGCCTGGAGAAGGGGCGCATGAGCCAGGAATGCGTAAAGCATTGTCAGTCCAGCAGACACGTCATTCACCAAGCCCCTGGTCTGTGAGTTCCCCGGGCTCCACTGTTACGACAAACACAGCACAGAAGCAGAATCGGTTAGGGTTGTTGAGCCATGTAGGGTTGCTAAGAGTCCCCTGTTGGGGAGGGGTGCAATTAAGAGACACACGGTACAAAAATAAAAGAGCCCAGGAGCCGCTCTCACAATCAGAAAAAGGAGGGCACTTTTAGGCTGGGCAGAGGGCACAGGTGCCTGGCAGAGATCTTCAGGGAGAATGTGGACTGTGGGTGCTCTATGAAGGAAGAAAAGTGGTGGAAAAGGCCAGAAGGCCTTGCAAAGAATAACTACAGAAGTGAGAGTAGGTGGCATTAGGAGCAGTGTGACACAAACCTTAGTGCCCAAGATCCCGGCTTTGCCGGAAGAGGGGGCCGGGCACCTGGGCACTGGCTTAATGCTGCAAAGCAGGAAGCAGCAGGTTCAGAATAGTAGAAGACAAAAATGAGCAAACAGGGAAAACAGCATTTTGGGAACACTGAGTGGCGAAGGGAGGGAATGACCAGTGAGAGACATGACGAATCACCCAAGTGCAAATGAATGACATACGGGATGGGAGGGGCAGAAGGCAGGGTAAAGGACCACCAAGGAGGCACCAATTTCCAGCTTGGAGGCCAAACTGGAATGCACTCCTGGAATGATACATCCACACAGGAATCTGGATTTGATCAGATCACCAATCCTGGCTATAGACACTACACTCTCTGGTTGATCATTTATAAAGCTAACGGAGACACTGATTGGCTGGTTGGCTGGTTTGGTTTTCAACATGGTGTTACTACTCTACAAAACCATTTTCTGCTGAATTTTATTTGAACTCTACCATCCTGGCAAGCAGTGACGCTGGCCTTAGCAGCACACTGGAGCTGTGCCCGGAGCTCAGGCCCAAACTGGGAAGCCAGCAAAGGCACATGAGGAATCAGCTCTTCTGGGCTGTCTCACCTTGAACTCGCTCCCCTCTGCTCCCAAGCCTCTCCCAGAATCACGTTTTCTGAGTGCGTCTCCTGCTTGCCCAACAGACTGTCGCCACCAAGGAGGGGAGGAGCCAGTTTCTGAAGTTAGATGCTTCCCTGGCATTCAGCACTTTCATCAAAAACCTCAAACAGTAATTGTCACTCCCCCAAATGTCTCCTCTTAAGGTTCTAACTGTAAAAATGCTTTAAATAGTCCCAAGACAGTTCTTCTTAAATCTGTTCTCCTTTCACTCATTCATACTTCATTCACCACAATGGGGTCAGCAAGGTTAGGAAGACAAAAAAGAATCGAGGTATATGATTCATTTTAAAGTAGTTAAAAAAAAAATCTGTTTGCCATTCAGTTGGTTGATCTGTCCTTTCAAATGGAGGCTGAACATTTAAAAAAAAAATTGAAGTGGGAGCTGAACGTGGCAAAATGTGTTTGCTTTTCTTAGATAAATCTGTTAGTCTGTGTGTGCTGTGAAATGGCATTATTCCTCCATTGGAAATTACACTTCCTACACAACATACGCCACTCCGCCTTCTCTTTCCAGACTTCCCCAAAGTTCAAAGTCTTGCTGCGTTTGTAGCCAATGCCACGATGACATCATTAGTTTGGGCTCTGATTTGGGCTCATTTGAGAAGGCCCAAGACAAAGATTCTTTTCCAAGGACCATTGAACAATGAGTCAGCACAAAATGGCAGCTCCTGGGACTCCACTAAAAGAGAGAGCCAGAATTCCTGAGTAGCTGGAGAAGGAAGGCCAACCATGGGATTTTGCATTTTGATAGACTCGAAAGATGCTATCTGTAGAAGCCCCGACGTTACACAAAAACAGACCAGTTCCTGCTTGGGCCCTAGGGACTTACCAGATTCAAGATCGTCAAGTACTTCCACCGTCCACCATCTTGAAAGACTTTGGATCCCAACTGAGTTTTGCTTTTCAGTGAGATGTAATGATTGATGAAAATATACCAGTTGAAAAGGAGAAAGTGGTATATGCACACCCAAGTCTTCGTCATGGCCAGCTCGGTCGGGGTCGGCTCCTGGAGCGTCGTTCCTGGGGCTGAGTCACTGCTGAAGCCAGATGGCAGGCTGCAGGAGCTATAAAACCCGTCCTGCTGGAACTTTCAGTTCCAACACAGGCTGGCTTCTGCGTCTCTCCTAGGTTCCGTTCCTGATATACTCGTGAGTCAGGATTATGGCCGGGTTTTCAGCTGCCTGCATTTAGATAATGATAATCTGCAGATTTGCATATGTTTTACCGTCCACGCTTTCTGGAGGCCAGGGAGCAGGGGCCGCACTTTGCACTGTTTTGAATGGAGTCCAAGAGCTACACGCTGCATTATTTTCCTGAAGCCTGTGACAGAGGCCTGGTGAAATGGCCTCGTTTTGAAATATCCACATGGTCCTGTTTTATTTTCATTTAGACAGGATATGGGAGCTTCAATAATATCTTTTGGGACGATCAGAAACAGGTTGATAAACAGGAGGTGGAGAGGTGTGGGCGTGTTGAGGGCGTGAAGAAAGCGAAGCAGAGGGAAGCAGGGTGTTGTAATCGGTGCTCCTGAGCTTACCACGCAGGCTCTGTGTAACCTCTAACCACCTTTGATCCTCCAGGGAGCGGCAACAGGGTTACTCTCTGAGAGTTATTCTGCTTCCTTTTGATTCTGTGTCTCTGTCCTAGTGGAAATGGGCATTCCTGGGCACCAGAGGGTAAAGGGAAGGTAGAGCTGTGCGGGCACGGCTCCAACATACCTGAGTTTAGACACTGCGGGATGTGGGGGAGGTCCCCTGCACAGCTGCTGGGGGAGGAGCCATGATTGCAGCACCGGGCCCCGCCTCAGCCACAAGAGAGGGAATTAGAGAGAGAGAGAGAGAGAGAGAGAGCTAGAAATGTGACTCCTTGTGACATCAACTGCTGCTGGTTTCCCAGGGCAACCGACTGGGGGAGTGGAGCCAAGCCCTCCGTGTAAAGCTCCCAAGGCAGTTATGCAAGTCTGAGGGTGGTGCTAGGGCCGATTTAGCAGGGACTTACAAGTCTTTGGAGAAAGAGCTGGAGACTGGACATGGAGGCCCAAACAGAAAGAGAAGTAAACTCACCTCTCAGGAAGCCATAGCCCTCGGGGTCAGGAGCTGATGCTAGGAGAATGCCCGAGCCAGCCACTGAGGGGCTGCCATGCAGTCCCGTCCCGATCTGATCGAGCTGCTGTGACAAAACACTGTGAGCTGTGGGAATTATTCAAAGGAAAAAAAAAAAAAAAGCAAAGAAAAAGAAATGTGTTTGTGGGGCCAGAAAGATGAAGGCATTAGCAGACCCAATGTTTGGTAAGGGCTCCTCCCTTCCTGGCTCATAGATAGCTCTGTCCAGCTGTGTCTTCAAGTGGTGAGAGCGCTAAATCCCTCACGCCCTTTTTCTGTTTTTGTTGTTGTTGTTATGATTTATTTTTATTGCAAAGTCAGATTTACAGAGAGAAGGAGAGACAGAAAGATCTTCCATCCACTGGTTCACTCCCCAACTGGCCGCAACGGGCCGGAGTTGAGCCGATCTGAAGCTAGGAGCCAGGTGCAGGGTCCCAAGGCTTTGGGCCTGCTTTCCCAGGCCACAAGCAGGGAGCTGGAAGGGAAGTGGAGTAGCTGGGACACGACTGAAACCCATATGTGATTTTAGCACGTGCAAAGTGAGGACTTGGTTATGCTAGCACTAAGGCTACCGTGCCGGGCTCAGGCTTTTCTTATAAGGAGATGAATTCTGCCTGTGATCTGATGTCCTCATCACCTCACCCAGCTCTGCTTCCGATATCACCGTGGGGGGTGAGGTTTGAACTTACAAATTTGGGGGAGTAAGGATATTTCAAGTATTTCAAGATAAAAGCAAAGTAGGCAGAAAGAACCGGCAGGAAGAGAATTCTCATAGCTTCTGCGTGGTCCTGCCTTTTCACTGTGCCCCCTCCCTGTCATGCCAGGATGCCAACTTTTCCATGATGCACTCAGCTCATCCAGAACCGGGAAGGAGACACCGTGTTGTCCACCTGAAAGTTAATCACAGGTGGAAGAACCAGGCAACTCCCAGGAAGCTTCATGAGCAATAACCCCTACCAAAGCTCCTTGCTGCTTGCAAGTTCAACTAGGGGACTATGTCCTAACCAGAAAAGGGACAGAAAAGGTGGTGAGAGCAGCTGTCCCCGCACTGTCGCTGTCCCGTAGCGATGGACTTGGTGCCCAGAGCCTACAATAAAATGCATGGACTACTGACTGATGGTCAATAGCCAAAGTTTGTTAACAGCACCAGACTTTTAAAGGAAGTTTGTCAGGACTTCATCCAGGGAGGAGGGGCTTGAGCCATTTACATCTCAACAGCAAGGCAAAGTTCCCCCAAACACAGCTAGTTCCTCTGGCAGATTCTTACCTAAACCTTATCAATAGCTCCTGCTGCCTTCGGGGGGGGGGATTCAACTGGCTGTTGTCTCCCACTGTAGCAAAGATTCTGAATGTCCTTCTACACCGCCCCACACCTCTGTTTATTTTTTTCCCCCATTTTGGTTTCTGGACCATCCTTATGCATCATTTGCCTGTGGTCTCTTCCCACACTCTTTCCCCATGGGTAACTCTGGCCCATCTGTGACCCATATCTCCATGTCCACATGCTTGCTTGTGTACTCACTGTCTTTTGAATCAGTCCTGTTCTCCCTAGAGCAATATGTTTATGTCTTGGCTTTACATTCTTTTCCCTGTGGGAGTAAAAAATTAGACCATGAGAAAGACAGACAGAGAGAGTTTTTGCTCATAATAAAAGGCCACATAACAAACCATTCCAAAGGAGTAGGTAACCCAGGAAATGAGTCATGTAAAACTTCGTGCAAAACTCCAGTAGGAATGGCTAAATTGTAAGTAATAAAAGCAGCTAATAACTTTATACTTCTTACTGTTTTGCCAGCCAGTGTTCCAAGTTGGACATATTAATTCATTTAATATCCGTAATCCCTCTTTGTGATCATTGCTTTTAAATATATACTTTTCTTTATTTACTTGAAAGGCAGAGTGACACAAAGAGAGAGAGAATGAGAGAGAATGAGAGAGCCCCAATCTATGGACTCACTCTTCAGTGTTTGCAACTTCCAGGTCTGGGCCAGCCTGAAGCCAGGAACCTGGAACTCCATCCTATGTGGGTGGCAGTGGGTCACAGTTTCCCATGTGGGTGGCAGGGGTCCAGGATCTGTATCATATTCTATTGAGTTTTTAGATACATCCACAGGGAGCTGAACTGCAAGTGGGACAGCTGGGACTCAAACTGGGGCTCTGGTATGAGATGCCAGCCTCACAAGCAGTAGCTTAACCTGCTCCTCCACAGCATCAGCCCTGTTTAGTACTTTATTTTCATTTTCAAATGGGATCGGAAGTCCAGGTTGCTAAAATATGCATTCAACAAAATATAGAAATCGGAGTTTAATTCTGTAGTCTTTTTAAAGATTCATTTTTTATTGGAAAATCAGAGAGGAGGAGAGACAGAGAGGAATATCTTCTATCCACTGATTTACTTTCCATGTGGCCACAACAGCTGATCCGAAGACAGAAGCCAGGAGCTTCTTCTGGGTCTCCTGCATGGGTGCAGAATCCCAGGACTTTGGGCTGTCCTTGACTGTTTTCACAGGCCACAAGCAGGGGGCTGGATGGGAAGTGAGGCCGCTGGGATTCGAACCAATGCCCATATGGGATCCCGGCTATACTTAACTACAAAGAATCAATGTTGGCTCAGCCACTCACAGACTCTCTTTTTCAATACCCACTCCCTGCTGAGGGTGTCTTCTCCGGCCATCTTCCCAGGAGAGTTGTCACTAAAAGGATCAGCTATGGTTTAAAATTTGGTGCACATAGAAGTTATCAAGTTATACCGATTAGAAGTCAATTTAGAGATAGAGGCTGCCTCCCTTTATGCAAAACTATTGAGCTTAAGTCTACCACTGGGCAACGAGGGAGAGGGAGGTGCAAAGGGACCCAAGGGTTTGTGAGCAGCCAAGCCTGGACACGGGTCTCTCACGGTCCAGAAATGGCTTCCTCTGCATTATTCTCAATGCGTACAGAGGAAAGCTCTAGTAAGCACTGACACAGTCATTAAAAATTCTTGCTGGGAGATTTGGCGCTGCAACTCAATTAACTGTTAGCTCTTTAATAAATCTGTAACATGAATGGACATCCAAAAGTCCATGGAAAATGTATACTATGAAAAAAATGAAGCATAGATTGCAAAACCATAGGCCATCAAGTCATGTCATATGTTCTGATCCAACATGTCTGAATAGGCTGTAGGCTGCAGCACTAGGATAAAACAGCAGATTGAAAGGAATTCTTAGCAGGGTAAGATGAATTCTGTAAGAATAAACAACACATCGATGACAAGGCTTGAATAGAAGAAGGGTGGGATCACGCATGCTTTCTAGAAAGTTCTTGAGGACAATGCTCCAAAGCAACTTACAAATGAATAACTAATTTTAAAAAATGCTCCTATGAGGAAGAGAGAGTTAAAGACAGAGAAAGCAAGCTTATTGATTCATTCAACAAACGTGCACAGCAGGCCTTGGCTGGGTCCTTGAACTCCATCCAGCCTCCCACTTTGGTAGTAGGGACTCAGTTATTTGAGCCGTCATCACTGCCTCTCAGGGGTCTGTGTTAGCAGGAAGCTGCAGACAGGAGCTGGAACTGGGACTAGAGCCCGGGCACTTGACTGTGATCTAACTCAATCCGGGTATCCACTGCTAGGCTAACACTCACCCCAAATAACGTATCTCCAAAGGGGATGAAATGATATTGAAGATGAAGCTTCCCACAGCACACCAACCACACTGATTTGCAAAATTTCATGAAGCCATTTAACCATCTATTCCCCACGAGGCAAACTTTGGGAAACAGTTGAGTGTGGCCAACAGCTACCTAATATGACACAGTGTTATATATTCAATCTGTTTGCCTGAGTCTTTTTACTCCAAGTGTATGGAGACCTCAAGTCGATCCAAGAGAAGAGAGAATTGGTCATTGATAGAAATTTGTTTTCCATGGGAAAATGAGATAAGCCCATTTCACTTGACTTGAACAACGCACTCAAAGTAGTGTTCAAGACTCTTCACTCTGGGACGTTGAGCTTTAATGAACATGGGTCTTTCAGTGTCCACAGATGTCTTGAACAAATTGAGGTTTCTTGAGGAATAAAACAGATATGGCCTTGCCTGCCCAGAGCTTCCACTGCAGAAGGAAAAAAAGATATTAATCACAAAGTAGATGCTAATGACAATTCCAGTAACTT